CCCATCTAAATGAAAAGCCATATGGTAATCCTGTACCCAGGCCTGCAGAGGCTTTCCTGAGATGGTTTCCAAACACAATTACACAATTCAAGCTTCTGAAAATGTGGAGGATTTAGGAGGGCTTTCTATGCAACAGAAGCATTTAGAATTTTACAGGGAAAAGTTTTTTAAAGAAATAAATAACCCTTCCCAGAGCCCAGTACAGGGTTGAACTTTCCTAGAGAACAGTAAACGTTTGGCCACAAATGACTTGCACACCGAGAACTCAGGAAAGAAGGATGCTTCCCTGAGCCCAGTGCTCCCTCCCCCGCAGTGAGCGCGGCCCCTGGAAGAGAGCTGGACCTTGCCGCTCTTCTCGCAGACGCTCGCGAAGTCCCACGCCCAACCTCCCCTCACTCAGGTTGCTCCTGGCCTCCAAAAGTATTCTAAAAACCACGCAGAGAGAGCTCAGATAGGGTCCTGACAGTTTGGTCTTACTGACATGGTGCAGCTGTGAGCTGGCGTTGATGGCATTTGAAAACCAGAAGAAAGTTTAGAGTTTCCATATGGCTGCCAGTATCTGGGCCCGGAGGAAGGATATTACATTCTTACCTCCCCGGTGAATATTCACTGTCTTACTTAATACTGTAACTCTAGGTTGATGTATTTAATACAAGTTCAGGTTCAACCGGTGGTATTCTACCACAGACTCTTTTTTTTCCAATTGAATATATTTGACATACAGCATTATATGAATTTAAGGTTTACAATGTGTTACTTTGAAACATTTATATATTATAATTGCCATTGGAGCAATATTTATCACATTTCATAATTGTAGTATAATATTGTTGTCTATATTCATTACAGCGTGCATTAGATCACTATGGCTTATTTGCTACTCATTGCAAGTTTGTACCGTTAAACAACATTATTTTACTTTCTTTAAAAAAAAATTATTGAGCAACTACTATGAACCCAACATGATTTTTTTTATTCTTCTTCTTATTATTATTATTGAAGTACAGTCAGTTATAATGTGTCAATCTCTGGTGTACATCATAATGTCCCAGTCACACATATGCACATACATATTCATTTTCATATTTTTTTCATTGAAGGTTATTACAAGATATGGAATATAAGTCCTGTGCTATACAGAAGAACAAAATACAACACCGTTTTCTTTACGGCAGAATACACGGCTCTTCTCCTCTGGTGCCTGCCCTGAAAGGAACAACAGAAGTTTTCCTCTCCAGATTCACTGAAAAGGAAAGCAAGAAGATACCTGCCCACTTGGGCCTGAAATGAGAATCGTTTTCCCGTTGCCATCTGCTCTACTGTGGGTCGCACACACACGTTCACGGAGCCCCCACTGGCCTCATGCCTCCACTGACATCTGAGAAAAGTAATACTATCTTTACATGGACTTTATACTGTGCTCTTGCCTTTAAGAGTCCAGCCAACCGGAGAATTCTCTCATGCCTGATTCTGCAATACTTTTCCTTCCCCTCCTGCCTCCTTTTCTGAGATGACAGAAACTTACCCAGCTGCTAGTCCACCTGCTCAGAGGCACGGGTGACTTCCATATGCCAAAGAGCAGCTGTCAGTCAATGGAAAAGGTGACAAGCCTCTGTGAGGGCAGAGGCCACGGCAGCAGGGGCCACAGCAAGATGCTGGGTGAGGAGCTTCCAGGAGGAGAAAAGTTGCTCCCCATCCTCCCAAAGACTTCCCATCCTCAGCTGCCTTTCCAGGAAAGTAAAATCTGAAGCATACGCTGCATAATGTTCCTAAAAACCACAGATACTCTTCTAGCCATTTCTTCTCAGGATGCCAGGCTCCTGGCTCCCACAGGCAATGACACATCTCCTCCACTGCACCTTGAGACCTCCCTGGGGCATCATCAGTGAAGTTCATGGGTGCTATGGAAAGAGTTAGGAGGTCTGGTTCTAATTCATACATCTCTTCACCTCTTCGTAGCCTCAGAGAAATCATCTTTAATGTGAAGGAAATAGACTAGATGTCTCGAAGGACCTTTCTAGACCAGGGGCTGTTCTAACATTGAGTGAGTGAGAAAGAGTGCTTTAGACTCTGCTGAATGAGCGAAGGTACCTGCCCTTGGGTGCTTAACCTGGACTGAGAATGCAACACGGGAAGTGACCAATACAAAGGGAGATGATGAAACAGAGGAGTGGTGAAGCCATAACAGTTTCAGCCCTATTCAGGATTTTAAGTCCGTACTGAGGAAGCTCCTGGAAGAGAGAGTGCATCAATTTAGTCAACCGAAACTTAATTCAAGAAATGCAGAAGAAAGGAGAAGGGAGATGCTGAAAATTTACACCATCATTTTCTAGAAATGTCCTCATTGTCCTATGGAGACCTGGGGGAGAAGGTTAGCACAGAGTCATGGTTGATAAGTCAGACACGCTCCCAGGCTCGGGATCTTCTAGATGAGCAGTGGGAGACCACATCTCTGGGGCCACCACGTTTCACCTCTCAGTGCAACAGCTGTCCATCTTCCTTTCAGGTCTGGACACAACCTCTTCCCTCCCTCATAGGGCACACCATGGATTAGTCAGCAGGGAAAAGACAAGTGTTCAAACCAGAAGGGGAGTGCTATGGACTACATGTGCCTCCCCTCAACCCCAATTCATATGTTGAAGCCTTAATCCTCCATGTGATGGCATCAGGAGGTGGTTAGGTTTAGATGAGGGCACCAGAGTGGGCTTATCATAATGGGACCTATGCCCTTATAAGAAAAGATACCAGAGAACCTGCTCTTTCTCTCTCCACGATGCGAGGGCCCAGCAAGAAGGAGGCTGTCTGCAAGCCCGGAAGAGAGCCCTCACCAAGAACCTGAGCATGCTGGTGCCCTGATCTTGGGCTACTGAGCCTCCAGAGCTTGAGAAATCCATGTCTGTTTATGGTATTTGCTATTCCCAGTCTATGGTATTTTGTTATAGCAGCCCAAACTGACTAAGACGGGGGAAATCTCTAAATAAAACAGAAGTGGGGTCCACCGACCTTTGTAATGCTCTTTAAGCACTGGCAAAACAACAGCTGCCTTGTTCTGATCCAATCTAATCTTTCAGAATTGACGTTTCTAATTCTCCTACTTGGCCTCAATACAGACAAAGGAAGTGCGTGGCCTTTTCCAAATCAGGTCCTACAGCCCTGCCAAGTCACAGGCCTGACTCAAAAGCCAGAAAGCCTGTGTTCCTTCAGGCAGCTGCCTTATTGCATACCTGGGCTGGGCACATGAGATCCAGGCATCAGGTAGGTGAAAAATGAGGCCATCTGGGAAGATGTAGCTTTTCTAAGGGTCTTGGGGGGAGGTGTTTTCTCTCCTTAGGAGGCACTTGGATTCCACAGATTGACTTTAACGTCCTTCCCCAGAATCAAAACACGCAGACCATGGATGCTTGATGGAGTATGGTGTACAGCAGCTTCAGGAAGCTGCTTTTCATGCCAGACACATCTTGTGTCAGAGCAGAGTGGGAAGGATGCACTCACATCTGGGGGTTAAACTCAAGTCCAACATCAGCCCCAGAGCTCCTCCAAAAATGGGCACAAAATTAGGCAAGTTAGACCCTCATGAGCCCACTTGAAAGAGCTTGTGATCGGAACAGGTTACAGATAGGGATGGGACATAAGGTAACCCTGACCAGAAGCAGGTAATATGCAAATAATTTGCTTGCATCAAGAGCTGATTCTCAACCAATCACATCAAAGGAGCCATTCTGCGGAGTGCTGAGTCCGCTCTTTGGCCACCTCAGTGGTTTTGGTGGTCCCCCTGGGCCACTCGGGCACCCAGGGCCAGGAGTGCTTGGGACAAAGCACAGGAGTTGAAGTGGCTGAGCAAATAAACAGAAGCAATGACCTCTTCTGAAGACCCAGTCTTCTGGAAAAAAGGGAATTCACGTATAAAGCAGCACTTAATTAATGAGCACAAGAGGGAACACATTTCTAAATCCTTCATCATTATTGTGTGAAAATGATCGTATGCCGACACCACGCACGTGCTGCAGAGATCAGGGAAAAGGCATGGTCTTTACTTACAGTTTTCTGAGGTAAGGAGAAATGACTCCCACATTTGGAAAACAAGTGATGTACACAAGTGAAAATCTGGCAGATTCCATTGTCTTAAGAAGGAGCAGGTGGATGTCAGCCCCTGCTGTCTTCCCTTGTTCTGAGTTTTGTGATGGTAGTTTGTTTGTTTTTTTATGGAGCAGGGAAGACAGAATTGGGGATTTAATATTTTCTGTTCCCCTGCAGCAACTATTCAAGAAGAGTTACAGGACCCATGGCATTGGTGAAGGAATTTGAAAAAAGCAGGATGACAACATGAAGGAAAGACAATCCAATCATACATGGAAGATGCAAAGGCAGTTCTGAGACACAGGTGAGTTGAAAGACTCCAGCTGTGCCCAGACAAAGGGGAAGGAGACAAAATACCAGCAAGTAGCAGTGAATCCCATGGGCTGGAAATTAGAAAGAGAAGGATTAGCTTTTCCTGTATGAGACATGACAGGAGTGGTCTGGTTCCCTTTCTCATTTAATATCAGATTTTCTCATGCTATAATGCCTTAGAATATAGAGGCATCAATACAGAAATCTTTATTTTATAAGTGGTACAATAAGATACAGTGTCTGTGACTTACTTGCTCAGTGTAACCCAGTGGAAACTCAATCCCAGAGCCAGTACAGGACTCCCTAAATATCCAAGACAGTGGGATAGGAATGTGATCATCTGCTTCGAACAGGTAAGTTTCTTGGGTGCTGGTACCTACTCACATGAACAAACACCAATTAGAGTTGCCAGATAAAATACAGGACGCCCTGGTACATTTGGATTTCAGATAAACAATAAATAATTTTTAATATAAGTATGTGCCCAATATTATACGTGCCAAATATGGGACATAATGATACAAAATAGTACTAAAAATGAATAAATAAATATTCATTATTTATCTGAAATTCAAATTTACCTGGGCATCTTGTATTTTTATCTGCTAAATTTTACCACCCTAACATCCATAGCCTTTTCCTCCCCTTTCAATGTGGTCCTCCTGCCAGAAATGCTATCCCCTGTCCTTGCATATATTTAAATCATGCCCATTCCATAAGGCTGAGATCACACCTGTCTGCTCCGAAGTCTTCTCCTGGCTAGTGTCAACCATGCCATTATCTCCCTCGTGTGAATACCCATAACATATTCTGATGGAACAACACAAGCCAACCTGGGATACACTGCTGTGCCATTCCCGAATTGTTTCATAAGCTTTCACTGCCTCTCTCCATCGAGGGCTCAAGCCACTTTGATCAAATCATGCCTGACGCTCACTTTGTATCCTATGTTACACCTACCATAAGCCTACATTGAGTAACTGATGAAGAATCATTTGCTTTAGGGCACACGGAGAAGCTGACAATGAGAAGATTATGATACCCTTTTCTCTCTCATTTCTTCCAGGTATGAAAAAGGCAAAGGATGGAAATGTCTAAAATGATTTGCACATAAATTAAAGGTAACATTTGTGTGTAAGGTAAGAAGCTACAACCCGATTGTGAATTAGGACAATTTTAAGAGTAGGTGATATATTGACTGTAGATTTGCTTCTGTGGAAACTCTTCTCTCCATGAAAGTCTCTGCAAATACTGTTCCACATCCAGAGCATTAGAGCTGGTAAGACATTAGACATCACCTGGGCCAGACTATCATCATACAAGAAAAGAAACTGAGACCAGGCCCTCAGCGGAAAGTCACTAGTCTTCAGTCTTATAGTGGATTAGTGACAGTTTCCTGGTTCTTAAGCCAAAGCTTTTTCAGTCTGTCAAGCTGAACTTTCAGTTTCAAGGATAAAGTCTCCTGCCAGGGAGCAGGTTTTCAGCTCTGCTCATTTTTAAAATATTATTTGTTGTCTTTTTCTATCTATAAGAAACACTTACTTTTAGTTGAATATCTAGAATATATAAAAACTCATAAAGGAGAAAATTGGTTACCCACCACCCAGAAAAAAATTATATTTGATGTGTTTCCTTTTGATGCCTTTTCCTATGCTACTAAACTGTAAACTCCACAGTGGCAGGAACTGAATTAATCTTGTTTGGCTCAGTACCCTCAGCCCTTAGCACAGTGTCTGGTACATAAAATGCACTTGATCCCTGCTTATTGAATACATGACTCACATAAATATACATATTTATGTACATGTGCGAATAATTAATGTTTATGTAATTTTTAAAAATGAAGCCATACTGTTATACACTTAATACTGTTTTTTCACTTAATATTGTAATGTAAATATTTTCCCCATCTGTAAATATCCTCCTATAATAATATTTTAATAGCTGCATAACTTTCCATTGTATGGTTAAACCATGACTTATTGACTCATCTCCAATCAATGCACATTTAGATCATTTCCAAATTATTCTGAATTATAAACAGTACTACGATAAATGCCTCTGGAAATGAATCTGAGTGAGAATCAGTCTGGGGGAAGTTGAGTCTACCTTCCGTTACTAATAAAAGAAGTTTGGGCTGGAAAGTGACAGGAAGTTGACAGTCTGTGGTCATCTTATCAGCCTCTTGTATGTCATCTGACTCAGCTTCCCTTCCAAATCACAAGCCTCAGGTCAGAACTACCAGTCTCTGATGGTCAATTTAAATTTTATCTCAGTCATGTCTTCCATGAAAAAGCCATCCCATGCACATGGGATAAAGAGCATTTTAGAGTTGATTTTATCAGTCTCACCCTTAGCCAAAGAGCACTAAAATATAAAGTGCCCTCCTCTCCCTAGACAAGTTCAAAATACATATCCCACTGGGAAAGTGACTTTAAATTCAAGAAAAATAGAACAGGTGGCCCAAATCCAAACTTAAGTAACAGATTTGTTTTCCTAATGAAATCTGTGCACATGAGTTCCCTGAATGACCCTCACTTGACTGAACATTTTTTATGATTGCATATTACATATATTATACATCCACTGACATTCAGCAACCTATGAGTTCAGACTGCCTCTTTATTTTCCCCTTTGGCTGAGCCAAAGCAGACCAAAGCAGATCCTTCAATGGCCAGAAGTTTCTGTTCGAAGATACAAAAGGGATCTTCATGGTACCCTTTGATGTTCTGCTCTGAGCACTAAGAGAAAGTGCTCTTCTTCTAGGGAAGAAGCAGGAGGGGAACGTTCCTTCCTCACCTTTCTCTTGCTGGTATCTGAGCACCAGCAAGGGGCAGAGTGGGAGCAGCAGAGAAAATACGGGGACAGTGGCAGGAAATGAGGTTGAAGAGCAGCCAGGGGTCATATCATGCAGGACGGGGTAGACAGTGGTACTTGGGAACGTGATCCCAACATTAAAAACAACAGGGCTTATTTGGGAGAGAGGGAGGGGAGGTCTAGACAAGCTAATCATGAAGTTAAGATGGAAAAAATTTGAAGCTAGGTTATCCAGAAATATTTGAAATTGGAGAACAATGGAGGAAGATTTGCCCTACTAATCTTCACGTTAAAATATGAAGCCACAAGAAATAAAATAATGTAATATTAGTACATTAATAAGAAGACAGAACAAGATAACAGGCCTAAAAGTCCAGAAATAGGCCTAAACATAATTTTTAAATGATTTTTTAAAATATGACCAAATGGTACTTCAAGTCTGGGGAAAAAATTTACCATACATAAAGACTAACTTCACTAAAATCACTAAAAAGAGGCATCAGTATTAAAAAAAAAAGAGCAAAAAATATCAACAGTTCACAAAAAAGGAAATCCAAAGGGCTCTTAAATACAGAAAAAGACATTCAAAAGAAATGAAAAAGAAAAACACAGTAAGATATCATTTTTCAGCTACTGGATTGGCCAAGATCAAAGCACTGAGGACTGACTACATTGGTGAACTTGCCAGTCACTTGCCTAGTTTGCTCTCAAATCCATTCCCAGCCCCCTCCTGCCCTGCTGATTTTACCATGTACCCTACAACCCAGAAGCATCAGGCAGGATGGTCTGCTGGAAGCTCAACTGTGGTCTGGCTGTAAGATCATACCCTGCACGGGTGGGATACTGTCCTAACAGGATGCAGTATCCATGTTGGACCAGTAACATGTATACTGCATCCTGTGTGGTTTCTCCCACGGTTGGAATCCACGCGGCCAGGAGCAAAGGGATAGAAGAGTGATTCTTCTCGCTACACCTAGTGGCCCATTCACAGAATGCTTCCAGTCCTCTGACCATGGGTTCTGCCCAGTTAGGAGTATTGATTCCCAAGAGGTGAGTGCATCCACGGGGACACAGCAGTGGTTCCACAGAACTGGAAGCTGAGGCTACCTTCAGGCTATTTTGCCACTGAACCAATAGACAGAGGAAGCGGTTATCATATTTCTGAGGAGAATAATCTCCATCACCCAGAGGAAGTTGGGTTGCTGGTACCCAGTGAAGCAGGGAAGTCTGTGTCTGGAACTGAAGGGACTCTCTGCGGTGCCTTTTAGTATTTAATGACCAATAGTAAAAAAAAAATCAATGGAAGTCACTGCACCCAGTAAAGGCAGGACTATATTAAAAAATCAGACCCTTTGGGAATAGATTCGAGTCACTTCACCTGGTGAAGATTCCCAAATAGCCAAGTGCTGGCAGAGGACAAAAGGAATGTGGAGTGAGTAGCAGAAGTGATAAATATCAACTTCAGCCTTATAGCCAGTTGCAGACATGAAGACTGAACAGTGGTACCTGCTTTTATAGATAAGGATTAACCAGTTATTTCTTTTTTCATTTCCCCCCTTTCCCTGATGATTTTGTGTGAGGAATTTCCCTGGTGGTACTGAAGTTTACAATCAGAAGAATGACATCCAGACAGACCTGAATGGATCCAGATCCTAGGCTGTCGAGATGTGTTCAGTGAGTGAGGGATGTTGTGTCCCCATCTGGGGGAAAGGACTCAAGTATCTGAGTTGGTACACAGTTGCATTCTGTCAGGCAGAAGCACAAAGTCATTGTTCCCTGGTAGTTGAATACAGACAGAGCATGAGAATGGAGCTGAACGGCAGGAAGATGGGACTGTGCCCTTCATTTGCTGGTTTTGCTCTCAGATCTGCTCATCCCCCATCTTTCTCGGCTCTTGTCTGTATTCATAGGAAAATGCATTTCCCAAACTCTTTTACTGAATTCAAGTCTTTTTCAGAAATGAGAGACATTGGCAGAAAAACAGGAGGGTGAGGTATTTCCGCCCTTCACTCTGCCTCCGGGGCATCTCTTTCAGCAGTGACCTCTCCTTAGGCTCCCTCCTGACAGCCCCTCTTTCCATCCTCCCAGCTCCTCACGGGCAGGCAGTTCTGGTTTTCTCTGATGATTCTGGCTCCCAGGGTCAGCAGCACTGCGGGCTCCTTAGCCTGTGGCTGACAGCAGCATCCTGCTATGGCTCTTGCCCTGGGCTGCCTCCCCATCGCCTGTTTGACTCTTTCAGCTCTTCCACCACCCAGATAATCAGTTCCCTTTGTAAGACTCCATCTGTTTAAAATCCTGAAAGATGACTCTTTTCCTTGACTGGCCCTTGACTGCTTAAGTAAGGAACTGGGAAAACCAACAGGTGGGAATTACAATGAATTAGAACATTCTTGGTAAGCAGCAGTGTAAACTGGCAAAACTCTATGGAGCATAATTGGGCAACATCTGGGTCAGAACAAAAGCATACACCCTTCGTCCCAGAAGTTCCAATTCTAGAAATTTCTCCCAGAGATATACTTGCACCTATTCGAATAACGTTTGTACAAGATTATTCATTGCAATATTGTAAAAGTAGAAGATTGGAAACCACCTAAAAGTCCACTGATGGGAGATAGATAGGTTAAGTAGATTAGGATATATTCATAAAGTGAACTCAAAAAAGTGAGAAAGTTCTTTATGTACAGTTAAGAATAAAACCTTAAAAGATGAAAAAGCAAGGTACAGAACAGTGCGTATAATGTTACCATAAAAGAAATAAGTATACAAGTCATATTTACTTATACTCAAATGGTTATCTCTAGCAAGAAGCCAATGATATTGGTCACTTCTGAAGAGAGAGACTGGGAAGATGGAAAAAGAAGACGAGAGAGAAATTTTTCAGTTACTCTTTAGTATATTTAGAATTTGGTAATATATGAAGGATTCTATATTTCAAAAATGTAATTTAATTTAATTTTAAAATGCAGCTCTACACTTCTTACAAGAGACATGCCTAAAATATGCAAATGCATGGAGAGAGAGGAGAGAAAGTTGGAAACAAGTGGATGGAAAGTATTTATTATGAAAAAGTAAGTAAAAAGCAAAAGAATGCTGGGGAATAAATCATATTTAGACCAAATTAAAAGTTAAGGCAAAAGCCTTAATAGAGACAAAGAATGGCATTATATAAAATGTAATACAAAAATATCTACCCATCATGAATATGTATATAGCTAACCACATAGTCTCAAATACACAAAGCAAAAGCTAAAATAATCACAGGGAAGAAACTGTGCCAATAAAAAATTAGTAATAACACAGAAGATTAGAATAATAAAATTACTATGCTTATTAAATCAGATCAAGTCTGAACTAAAATAGAATCTTTTCACCAACAGATGGAAACTCTACACTCTTTTTAAGCACACATGGAATGTACACAAAAATTGAGCATAACCACAGGAGACAGGAGTAATCTCAGCACAATATCAAAGATCCATGTCTTATAGCTCATCTTCTCTGACTACATGTTGATTAGAAGTCAGCAGTAAAAAGATCGTTTTACAATGTTTGGAAATTTAAATATCCATTCCTAAGTAACTTGTGAACTTAAGTAGAAATCACAGTGGAAATGACAAAATTCTTGGAATCCAGCAACAGTAGAAGTGCTCTCAAAATCTATGCAAAGAACAGCTGGTGGGAAATCAATAGCTGTGAATGCACCTATTAAACAACAAGAAAGATTGAAAATAAATGAATAAACAATTTACCTCTCAAAGCTAATAAATTTATAGAAAATAGAAAGAAAGATTCTGGGTTAGGATGTTTGAACATGTGCATCTAATGTCTCTCCCTTCATAGACTCCATTAAAAGCATACTAAAGAGATTACCTAAAAGGACAGAAAGGCACAGCACGGGAGGACACAGACGGATGAATGATAACTGACTCGGCAAACCTGCCACAGCCAGATCCTCAACTGGCAGTGGTCAGAGTGGTGAAGAAACCTGGTTTTCAGAGTTGCAACCTCATGGGCTCAGACACTGGCAGCACTGGGTAACTCCAGAATTAGGAAGAAAGGAGGTATTAAATTAAGGAGGATTTGGTGAACGCTGTTTGGGAAACAGTTAATTCCTAGAGTCCTCCTGTACTCCACATGGCATATAACCACCCTGGAAGATAATCAGAAAGTCTTCTGGACTGGGCGCCACCAAGACACAGTTGAAGGTCTGGGTGTCTGCTATGATCTGAATGTTTATGTACCCCTCTCCAAATTCCTCTGTTGAAACCTAACCCCCAAGGTGATGTGGGGCTTTAAGGAGCTGATGTGGTCATAAGGGTGGAGCCCTCATGCATGGGATTAGTGCCCTGATAAAGAGACCCCAGAGAGCCCCCTGCCCCTCCCACCTCGTGAGGACACCACGAGAAGATGCCCTTCAGTGGGGAAGCAGGCTCTCACCAGACACTGACTCTTCTGGTGTCTTGATCTTGGACCAGCCTCCACAACTGTGAGAAATAAATGTTGTTTACAAGCCACCCAGTTTATGGCATTTTTATTAGAGTAGCACGAGTGGATTAAAATAGTATCTGCCCCAAAGAGGGAAATTGTCATATGTAACTGGATGCTGAATACTGAGATCTCAGCCCTCTTCCCCCAGTTGGTTTAGACAGGAACTTGTAAAATTTATCTCCAGGAAATCTGATAGCCCAAGAGGAAAGGTCTAAAAAGACTGACGTCAGTCAGTTTCCTTCCAAAAACAGTCCACCTTGATCACTCCACAGTGAAGATCCACATTGGCCAGCCTCATCATTCTCTCAATACTTCCAACCAGCTTTTAAATCTCCTACTCTTAAGTATGTGCAGATTGCCGAGGACCGCTTTATCCAGAAAGGGTTCTTAAAAATTCTCAAGAAATCTGAATCCACAGCGTGACTTAAAGACTATTCAGTGGATCGTCTCTGGCAGGGCAACTACTGCTTTTTCTTCACACAGCTTGCTTTGGACTGGCTAACGGTTTTGAAACACCTACTTTTAAAACATACTTACTTGGGATACATATATAGGTTTTAAAGCTATAACGAAACAGAGCGATGCATTTCTGGGAGAAGGACTGGTGCAGTGAGGAAGATGCGCACCACGGAGAGCTGGTCTCCACTTGTACCCCACGCACACCCCACCTCTGCCCTTCACTGTGCTGCTCGGAGCCCTGGGGAGGCCAGCCCCTACAGACTGCATCCCCAGGACACCAGTGCCCTCCAGCTCCCCTTTGGGTTTGACCAATGGGAAGTAACAGCAGAAGAATGGAAGGCAGAAGAGAGACGTGGAGATCTTTATTCCCCAACCCACCTATTTTGGCATCATCTGTCAGAGGCTCCATCTGTCCACAACTGTAACTCTTGTGGGGTGGTCCCTCTTCCTCAGTCCTAGGTCTCACCCAGACTCCACCAACACTGTCCCCTACCCTTGCCTACACAGGTGGAACTGGACCAGCAGGAGAAAGTAGTCCTTTGACAAAAAAAAAAAAAAAAAAAATCTGGGGGAACTGGTGATCTTTATGAAAAACACAATAAAATTAAAATCCCTATATCACACCACACACAAAAAACTATTCCAGGTCAATTAGAAACCTAAATTAATGTTGGAGGCCCTATAAAGCTTAATGAAGAAAATGTAGAATAATCTATTTATGACCTCTGGTGAGGAGTAGGAAGATTTTCTTAAAAAGAATAAGGAGAAAATAACAAACCATTAATGTATATTTTACTATATTAAAATATAAATTTTTTTGTTCATCAAAAGATACATAAACATAGAAGACAAGGCACAGTCTGGGAAGATATTTGCACCACTTAAAACTAACAAAGGATTGTGTCCAAATTATGTGAAGGATTCCTGCAACTGAACAAAAGACAAACATACCACAGAAAAAGAGGCAAAAATGTCGAAAGAGGCAGGAAGAAAACCAAAAATAAGCATATGGAAAACATACTCAACAGCACTGATAATTAGGGAAATGCAAATTAAGACAGCAGTGAGATACCCTCAGATTGGTGAAAAATGTTAATGTAAAAGAAATGAGCTATCAAACCAGGAAAAGACATGGTGGAACCTTAAAGGCACACATTACTAAGTGAAAGAAGACCATCTGGAAAGGCTGCATACTGTATGTTTCCAACTTTATGACATTCTGAAAAAGGCAAAACTATGAAGACAATAAACAGATCAGTGGTTACCAGGGGTGGGGGAGCAATGATTAGGCAGAGCACAGAGGATTTGGGGGGCAGTGAAAATACTCTGTATGATACTGTAATGGTGGATATATATCATTATACTTTTGTCCAAACCCATAGAACGTACAACACCAAGAGTGAACCCTCAGGTAAACTATTGGCTTTGCCTGAGTATGGTCAGTTAACGTAGGTTCATCCTTGGTTAAAAAAAAAAAAAAAAAAAAAAAAAATATATATATATATATATATATATATATACACACACCACTTTAACGAGCAATGCTGATAATGGGGGAGGCTACACATGTGTGAGGGCGAGGGTAAATGGGAAATCTCTGTGCTTCCCTCTCAAGTTTGTTGTAAACCTAAAACTGCTCTAAAAAAATTAGTCTTAAAAAATATTAATGTGATAACACCAAGGAAGGGTTGGTGAGAATGTGGAGAAATGGGTCCTCACACACATGCTGATAGGTATGTGTGTTTGTCAGTATATTAATAGACCCAGAAATTCTTCTTAGAGATATATGTGCTAGAAAAAAATTTTTTGTTTGCACCCTGGGAAACAAGTACTAGAATATGTATTGCAGTATTTTGTGAAAGGCAAGGAAAAAAAGGAAACAGCATAAATAAGCCATCAAATGGAATATAAAATGGAATACTACTAAGCAATCTAGTGAAAAATCAAACAACATGGAGAAATCTCCAAAAACAAAATGTTAGATAAAAAAGTAAGTTATAAAAAACATACTCGATACTATGCATGTGAGATTTTTAAAATGTGCAAAACAGTGCTGTATATTTTAGTGTAAAGAAAGCATGCGTGAGATTGAAAAATTCTAAATTTGGAATAATGGTTACTTCCAGGGAGGGAGGACGTGAGAGAGAGAAGTAAGGGAGGAGGAGAGGGATATGAAATGAGGGGTTTCCCAAGAGACATCAAGTGTAGCTCTAAGATATTATGGCAAAAAATTTAAAAGCTTTTGCTAGTGTTGGGGAGCTGGTATGTATTTATTATATTGTTCTCTGTATTTTTCTGTATGTTTATTTCATAATGAAAATGTTTAAGCCTTCTATAAGCTTAAAAGGTATTAATAGAAATATGGCACCAAAGTGGTAGAAATAAGACTCCCCTTCTAAGCTGTATGAGGCAAATTCCATCTGAAATACTGCATGTGTACCTGGACCACAGATAAACAAGTGGTCGACTAGTAAGCAGGGACCGGGACCTGTCAGCAGACACAAACTGATCAAGAAAGAAACCAAGATACACCTAGAATGTTTAGGCTGCAGTCAAAGACTTCTTGAAGTTGTATAAGCAGTGGGGCATGCCAGCAGCTCATGGAATGTCATCGGGGAAAGTGGCAACCTGCCAGTGAGCACTTTGTACTCCACAAAGAGTGTAAGTCCAGACAAGAGACAAATGCTGCCTGGTTCTCCGCCTCACTCTCGTTGCAGGGCAGCTCTGGCGATACAGATTTATCATGAAAAGGATAACTGCCCTTTCTCTGAATGACCTGTAGGTGCACAGAGCCAAGCCTTCCAAGACTTGCGAGAAAGACACACATCTTCTTGAAGCCCCCTGAGTACTGAACTGGATCCCCTGGTGGGGCTGACCTTGTGGTGCTTTCTGGGGGCTGGAAGGTACAGCAGCCCAGTAGCCGACTTGGAGTTGCCTGTGATCTTTCAGAGCACTGGAATTTTGGTCTTGGTCTGAGCCCTTAAGTTCTGTGTCTAAGTGCTTAGATGCTGTGATCTCTTTCCATTCATTGGAACTAACCAGTAAATGGGCAAAGAGCTCATTTGTGACACTAAGTACAGCTTTCTCTCCAACATGAACAGTCAACCACACGCTCCCAATCATTTCTATTCCATTAAACACTGTAAATTAAAGTCCAAGGAGGAAGCTAATTTCCCATCAAACAGAAGAACCAAGGGCCCCCAAATCTGTTCTCCAGTTTTTGCCCAGATGGTCATGTAGGCACACACTCACAGGCCAACTCACCCACTTCGAAATACAACAGAGCAAAACATAAAAATAAACAAGTGCCCAGATCCCGTGTCAGGTACTCTTTTGCTATTATCGTCGTCATCCGTTTTTGAAACAACTCAAGAAGCATGATTTGGATGCTCCAGTATTTTGTGAAAAGGGTACAGGTGTTTAAAGTAAGTCTGCTTCCTGACTTGGATCCTCCTACACTGATGCTAGCAGGTTGTGTCACAAGTGGCCAGAAAGTCTGGAAGCACAACTGTGATCTTCCATGTGAGCTGATATTACTGTCTGCCAAATGAGAGCACCACAGCCACATTTCAGACCAATTTATTCTACTTGAGTATAATGTGTCTCATTAATCTCTTCCATCTGGTGTTTATGTGCACGAACAATTCTAATGGGAAATATAAAAGACTGAGACAGGATTTACTACTTGGGCCTCTGAGTCCAGGTTTAATTTGTAAGGAGTTGCTATTCCTACAGATGGGACACAGATATGGAAGAACTGGCTTACCCCCAGTCACAAAGGCATTTGTGAGAATTTCCTCGTCTGCCTGGGCAGCGTTCCCGTGGCCAGTGCCACCCAGATGCTCATGTGTCAACCTCTCCTGGTATCATCAGAAGTCAAAATGGGATTTCCAAGACAGGAACAGAGGGCTGCCAACTCCGTTATTCTCTTTTCCTCTTCCTACTGCCACTGCTTTCAGATCAATTCACAGCTTAGCGTACCCTCCACCAGGCTCCAGACAGGACAGACAAAAGTCAACGTCAGGCAGTTTTATACTTGGTAATAGTGCATTTGAATGTGCTCGTGGGAGAAGACTCTGACATTAAATTGGCTACACTCAGGATTGGGGGATTACTGACTATGCCGTCTTCCAACTCCCACATCACCAAGGATAATCAACAACTTTGAGGGAAAATTAACACCTTATGAACAGCCAATCTGAAAACCCCCAGTATAATTAGATGAGGATTATTAAGTGTGTTCATTACTTCAGCAAATTTGTGGGGGTCCAATATGTGCCATGCCTTGTGCTAGACATTGGGTCATTCATGGTAAATGGAACAGACACAATCTCCACATGTCAAAATTATTCAGTGCTATTATGGGTTGAATTGTGCCCTGCACCCCAAAATTCATATGTTGAAGCCCTCATTCCCAGTACTTCAGAATGTGACCTTATTTGGAGCTAGGGTCTTTAAAGAAGTAATCAAGTTAAAATGAGGCCATTAATGTTCTTAATCCAAGATGACTAGGGTCCTTATAAAAAGGAGAAATTTGAAGACAGACAAGCACACAGAGAGAATGCCACATGAACACTAAGGCAGAGGTCAGGGCGATGCTTCTACAAACCAAGGAGCACCAAAGAATGCCAGCAAACCAGCAGAAACTAGAGGAGAGGCATGAAACAAATTTTCTCAGCCCTTAGAAGGAAACAGCCCTGCTGACACCTTGATCTTGGACTTCTAGCTTCCATAACTGTGAGGCAATACATTTTCATTTAAGCTACTTAGTTTGTGGTACTTTGTAACACAGCCCTAGTAAACTAAATACAAATGCCTTCTATGAAACAATGTCACTTAAAAAGGAAGAATTCATGAAAAGTTAGAAAAAAACTTTCCTGATTTCCCTTCTACCACGTGAGGAATCCAGCTTCCAAAACACATGACAGACTTCCATCTCTCCCAACAGCAACATGCATTCACAGCTGTGCATAATCCCAAGACACAGCTCTGGTGCAGACACTCAGAAGGAACCCAGGCCTGAATAAGCAGGCACTCCTTAGGGTCCTGTAGAGGGGATCCTAAGGGCCAAGGGAATAAGAAATGATGAGAGGGAAAGAACCTCTCCAAAACTTCTCTGGGGAATCCAGGATTATCTTGCCACTTTATCATCTCAAAAATTTCTGATATGTGCTGGCTGACTTCCAAGATATGAAATTTCTAAATTAATATTTTCCATCTAGATTCTAATCCCATTTTGCTACTAGTAAATTCTGTGGCTTCAGGCAAATCTTGTCTCCTCTCTGAACCCCAGTTTACCCATCTGTAAAGTTGGAGTTTAAAGTAGAGGACATCTAGGTCCTCTTCTTAGAGTTACTCACTTTGCAACTAGAAGATCACTAGTGCTGTGATAGTAATAATAATAATAATGATAATGATAATATGAATATTTGTTTTATCAGGTTTTGTTCTATGCAGTTTTTCTAAATTAACACATTTAATCCATGCAACTCTTTCATAAGAAGAATAAAAGCAAATAGCTCTTGGTCATTTTCAAATTTCTTCCTGTACCAGGACTCAGTGGAATAAAAAAAAGAGTTGTTGTCACAAGGAAGAATGCCACTGTCTGAGGCAGAGTCTGAGATGGTCCCTCACTGTGATGATGAAACCTTCCCCCAGAAGGCTTGGAAGGTTGAGGGGGCTCTCTTTGTAAGTGCCATAAAAATAATTAGTGCCTATTGTTTTGTTTTGCTTATTGAAGTATGGTTAATTTACAATTTTGTGTTATTTTCAGGTGTACATCAGTGATTCTATTTTTTTTTTACAGATTCTATTCCGCTGTCTTTTTTTTTTTAAATTAGAGTATAGAAATGAGTGAAAGTAAAAAAATAAAAGTTTTTACTTTTCTGGTTTTCAGTAGCCCTCACCCCCATGCAGACAATGCAAACTCTCCAAGATAGACACTGTGAAGAGATTGGCATGTATTTTTTTTTCTAAGCGTATATAAGAACACACACACACACACACACATACATACACCAAGAAATGTCATCATATAAACATACTGTAGGCATCTTGCTATTTTCAATCAGTACTCTGCCTTGGACAATATTCCACATTAGCACTTACAGATTTTCCTTATTATATTTTTTAATAGCTGCATGGTTATTCTTTCTATGTATGAACCATATTTATCTAAT